ATTAAGGGCAAGGGTGTGACAACAGATATGGGGTATTTGGGATCAGGTTCAGTTGTTCTGAGTTCAAATATACTGCAAGGCAGGGGTAAAATTTTCAGTCATCCACATCACCCCCTCTACCCTCCACCTATTGCTGAAGAATGCACCATTTCCAAAGGAGCAAAGCAGAGAGGACATTGACCAGAAAAAAAAAAAAAAAAAAGCAGAAAAGGACCAGCACCTTTTTTCATGCAGCTGACAAACTTTTGGAAAGGCTCTGGGTCTTGCCTATATCTCAGAACCAGAATTCAGAAGGGAGCAGGCTGTCATAAGGAGATTTATTTTAGTAATTAAAAAATCGTCAGACTTCTTCCCACGAGAAAGCCTGTCTGGTTTAATTGAAGGACTGACTGTGTCAGACTCTGTGATGGACATTTTCCTCCATATGAAATGAAATGAATAATACATTTAATTCTCCCAACCCTGTGTTTTACTTTTATAATTATAATATAGCAAAATATAATATATTCATCTTTTGGACCAACTGTGTATAATAATAACTGTAGTAACAACTCAGTCCAGAAGAAATATTTTTATGCTTAGAACCCTGAGTCACAAGAAATTTTAAAAAATTAAAATTTCAAATAGGTGCATTTTTTTTATGTGAAAGAGTATGAAAAGGTGATTAGCATAAACCCCCCGAGTCTAAAAATACATTAGGATAAAACTCTGTGGGGAAGGTGAAATGGATACAAATCAAAGGAGAGAAAAGAACTATATAAAATTTCCAACAGTTAAAGACGATCAGTGCATTTTTAAATGGATGATGATGGCTATTCAGCTGCTATCCCATGTTTTGATTCCGCTGAATATTTTAGAAAGTGTAACTTACTGCTGTTCCAATTCCCTGGAAGCTAAGTTCTTAAGCGACTCTTTCAATTTGTAATAAAAATGTTTAGCTGTCTATTTAAAATTTTGGCAGGAGGTGCACGGCTTTTCAAAATTCTCCTAAGAGAGTGCACATGTTTTAAAAAAAGTTTGGAGACACCTGCATGATCCGGTTCCCCCCTTAGTGGGCATGGGAAGGTTCAAAAGGAGGAGCCTTGAGAAGAGCGCGTGGGCCGAGCTCTCACATTCCCCCGGAGGCGCACAACCTGAAGTCCGTTCCCAGGGAACCCTCAGACTCCTCCAGCGCCCCCTGGTCCCAAAGAGTGTCATGACTCAGGGAAGCCGTCTGAGAGGCCGCTTTGGCCTGGGGGTACTTGCACGGCTTTGGGAGCGCCGCCAGACGCGGGACCCCGGCTCGTACCCGGGAGCCGGGCGCCGAAGCCGGGCGCGCACTCGGCGTTGCGGCGGCAGCAGCGGCAGTCCTCGCTCCAGTGGTACCCGGCGGTGCAGGCGCAGCGCCGCGGAGCCGTCCGGTTGCCAGGCTCCACGGCCACCAGGGCCTTGCCTGCGGGAGAGAAAGACAGGGCGGCGAGGCAGCGGGAGCAAGGGCGGATACACACCTTCCACCTCGTGCCACTCGCTCTCCAGCACCACCAGCCCCAAACCACCCAGCCAGCGCCCCCCCCCGCCCCGCCCCCGGACGCAGCGCACGGATGAATCACTCAGATCACCGGGATTCAGGAACTCCCAAGTTCCCCCTCACACTTCCTGTGCTGGCACTAAAACATACCAGAAGGGTTTTTTTTGTTTTTTTGTTTTTTTTTCCTCTCTCTCTCTCAATAATTAAGAGTCTTGTGGTTTCTGAAAAGTCAGTTTTCATGTTGGTAGGAAGATTAAGGCCTGGGGGGGGGGGGGGTTTCTGATCATTGACTATTTTGACGAATGCAAAATAGTCGACTTCACAGCTTCTTGAGTTTTAGTAAATTCAAATGTGATAAACATTCTTAACACCAATGCTAGATCAGACCTAAGAGAATTGGGTTTCTGGAGACTGGGGATTCATCTTGGGATCCCGCAGGGCTGCAGGATTATTCAGAATCCTGAAAACAGGCGTCACTGTGGGATTAGATACGGGCAAAGTAAGGAGGTTGGGCCTGGTGACATACTTGGAAATTAATCTCTCCCCCAAAACTTAGGATAACACGTTCATTGTCTCTTTTCTCACAACACATAGCAAAGCTCTCTCTCCTTATCTCAAACCTCCTGGCCCTTTCCAGTTTTTGTGGAATAAAGGTAAATGCTCACACACAGTCGACCCTCATTATTCGCTGGTTCATATTGGCAATTTCGCCTACTAGTTAAAATTTAATCGTAACCCCCAAATCAATAACTCCTGGTGCTTTTGCAGTTATTCTCCAACACATGCAGAACAGCGAAAATTTTGAGTCACCGGCTGGACATGGATGTCCCCAGCCAAGGGCAAACGGGGTGACACTGCCTTCTAGTTTTAGCTGTCACACTGGAAATCAGAGTCCTTTTTGTGGTCTATTTAGTGTCCTATTTTTGGCATTTTTGTGTTTTTTATTGGTGAGTTCACTGTTTAAAATGGCCCCCAAGCATAGGGCTGAAGTGCTGTCGAGTGTTTCTAAGTCCAAGAAGGCCATGATGTGTCTTCTGGAGAACGTCCATGCATTAGATAAACTTTGTTCAAGGCTGTTTATTGTGAGTTCATTGTTAATGAATCAAAAATATTTCTTAAATAAGGTGTCTTTAAACAGAAACACATACAAAATGAGGTTATGTTCACCCACCCAGGAGTGGTGGTTCAGTATTTGCTAGCTCAGTGTTTGTGGTGACTTTATAGAATATAACTACCATGAATAACAAGAATTACCTGCACATACACATGCATACATGAAACAACACAATAACATTTATTTAAAACAGACTTCCTACTCCTCCTATACATGCCCATCTCACCTGGATTGTCCAAACAGCCCTTGTACTTTATATTTCTGAATACTTATCAGAGTTTGTTATGGACTGATGTTTGTATCCTCTCAAAATTCATATGTTGAAATCCTACCCCCCCCCGCAGTGTGATGATATTAGGAGGTGGGGGCTTTGGGAGGTGATTAGGTCATGAGAGTGGAGCCCCCATGAATGGGATTAGTGTCCTTATAATAAGAGACAGCACAAAGCTTGCTTCCGCTCTCTCTCTGTTCGCCACCATGTGAGGACACAAGAAAGTGGCTGTCTTGAAACAAGGAATAGGGAACACACCAAAAGCCCCGCCATGCTGGCACCCTTATCCCAGACTTCCAGCCTACAGAACTGTTCTGTATATATATTTGTTGTTTAAGCCACTGAGTCTGTGGTATTCTGTTATAGCAGCCTGAACTGCCTAGGACAGAGTTCCAAGAGAAAACAAAGAAACCTGAAACCTGTTCCCTCCTTCACTGTCTCAAGTTATAACCAGCAGGGAGCGAATGCTTCCTGTTCCCATTCTTTTCAGACCAGAGCTCGGTGAACCTGAGAAGTCTCCACTCCCTTCTGTGCCCACTCTCCGAGGCCCAGGTCAGCTCTGAAGCATCAAGACCAACTTGCATAAACATGGACATACTGTCTGGAACATATGAACAAGTGTCATTTTCCTTGGAAAATTCGAATTCCAGTATCCCACTCAAAAGTAAGTGCATGTGGACTTCCCTGGTGGCGCAGTGGTTAAGAATCCACCTGCCAATGCAGGGAACATGGGTTCGAGCCCTGGTCCAAGAAGATCCCACGTGCTGGTGAGCAACTAAGTCCGTGCACCACAACTACTGAACCTGTCCTCTAGAGCCCGCGAGCCACAACTACTGAAGCCTGCATGCCTAGAGTCCATGCTCTGCAACAAGAGAAGCCACCACAATGAGAAGCCCGCGAACCACAACAAAGAGTAGCCCCCGCTCGCCGGAACTAGAGAAAGCTTGCGTGACGCAACGGAGACCCAACACAGCCAAAAATAAGTAAATAAAATTAATAAATTTATATATATATATATATATATATATATATAAAGTAAGTGCATGTAAGCCTGTGTGGTTATGAACAATTTTGACATATTTTTAAATATCTTAATGCGCTAGGTTTGGGGCTTTAATCAATTTTGGCAGTAGACAGAGTGAATCTTTCTTTCCAAGAGACAGCAATGAGTCAAGCTCATTACTAAGCAGTGGGAAAGAAAAAAGACTTGATCAGATGCTTCTGCTCAATGGAGTTTCCATGTTACCTTCTCTGGACAAAGTCTGCCAGCTATCTCTAACACTTTAGAAAAATTACAGTGTTTAGAAAAATGCTTATTTCCTAGTTCTGTCTACTGAAAAAACAAACAAACAAACCTATATACAAGGATCAATCCAGTAGCAATGAGCCTTTCCAGCACCCAGACTGAAGTTGCTAAATAAGATGTTCTGCTGAAAGCAATGAGAAATCCTTGGAGAAATGGCTGATTCCAGCTTTAGGGCAGGAAACGTCCAAGGTGAGGCTGGGAGCAAGAGAGCTCAGAAGGACACCGGGGGCCACATTGAAAGACTTGGGGGCCACCTGGGAGAGGTGAGATAATCCAAGCACCAGTAAAACTAGTAACCACAATAGATTAAAACACTTCAAAGACGTAAATGCATGAGTTCATAATATTCATACAAATCCTTTGGAGACAACTTGGTGATCGAGTCATTATTTTGAAAAGTGGTAAATAAAGTTACAAGCATTCATTCTGCCTTTCCTGTATATACTCTACTTCAGGGTAACAACCTGTTGATGAGGCAAGTTTCTCTTTAGAAAGCATTCCAGCCAATAAAGGAAGAAGGGATGATGGAATTAGAACATCACCTTTCTGCAGGCCCTAATGAAAATGGATCTAGGCCATGATCATCAACAGCTGCTAATATCACCCAAAAGAGAGAGAAGCAGCTCCTCTGTCAGTACGGGCATCACCACATCATGCTCACCTTTGAAGGAGTTTTGTCAAAAACAAAGCAGAAAAACCCAGATTCTGATCAGCCTTCTAGATCTAATAACCCCTTTACAGGAAATATCGGAGATATAAATATTCAGATATACATCTATATCTGAGTCACTTTGCTGTGTAGCTGAAACTAACACAACACTGGAAATCAACTATACTTCAAGAAAAACAAAACAAAACGAAACTATTCCAGAACAGAAGTTCTACATGAAGAACCTTAACACAATCCTTCTGGTATCCGAAGCACATCTTTCTGGGGGTCTGTGGTCAAAACTTCCTCCCACAGCCCCTAAAACAGACAGTATTGCTGTATCTAAAAATGTCATTTGTCCACACAGCCCCCGACGTGACTGACTCACCTGTATCACAAACTTTATGCAGCAGGCATTTATCTTCTTCATTCCAGGTGTCCAGGTATTCATCCGGGCCACAGGGCAGACAGACGCTTTCAGAGGTAGCAGTGCATTTGGAAGACAAGTACTTTCCTTAAATTAGAAGGGGAAACATGCACCAATCAAAAATATTTCCTCCCAAAAAAGCCAACAAATCAACAAAAATGCACCAATCTGGGAATTCCCTGGTGGTCCAGTGGTAAGGACTCCGTGCTTTCACTGCTGTGGGCCCAGGCTCAATCCCTGGTCAGGGAACTAAGATCCTGCAAGCCACGGGGTGTGGCAAAAAAAAACAAACAAAAAAACAAAACCAAGCACCGATCTACTGGACCCCTTACATGACCATGATCCTAGGACATCCCCCAAAGGTAGACTGATATATGAGATAAGACCACATCTCACAGCGATGGCTCCTCAGGCCTCCCGGCTGGCTCAGATAACCTCTCCTGGGTTTGCTGTGCCTGTGTTCACGGCAGTCTTTTAGATCTTTTAAGTAAAAGATCACCCCTTCCACCCCAAACCTCTGCTGACTAAGGAAAAGAACTATGGTTTTCAAACTGGTGCCTGCAGAACTTGAGGGGTTCCCTGGGGGCTAAGCAAGAGGAACTTCCTCTCACCTCTCCCCTCCCATCTTCAAAAGCCCTCTACTGTCAACCTGGATAGTTAACTTCTTTTGTCCCAAGTATACTGTGGGCTCACGGTTAACTTAGTTTGATCAGAGAGTAATGCACACACGGTTAACTTAGTTTGATCAGAGAGTAATGCACACACACATGCATGCATGAAAATCACTGGATCTTCATTCTATGAACCCACAAAATATTTGCAGCTAAAATGCCTAAAGGACCTTGTTATAAGGCAAACACCTTTTCCTCAAACCTCTCCTCTCCCCAGAACAGTGAGTGAGTGAGTGAGGACCCTCTGGGCTTGGGGCTTCACTGAGGCCACAGAAACACTTGGTCACCTTCTGGCAGAACAACTTTGGGGAAGTGGTGACCAGTCCACCTTCTAGCCCTCAGCAGGTATTGTGCGGGGGAGTTATAACAGGGTTTCGGCAAATTCTAGCAATGATTCTAGGATAGATGACCACCCCCATCCTCTGCTAATTTCTGTGAAAATAATACTTTTTTTTTTTTTTTTTTTTGGCCATCAAGAAGGTCAAGTGCTACAGGTGCCCTTCCACTGGCTTCCAGAAACTTCCAGAACCCACTCTCACTCTGCCCACCCAAGTGGTTATCAGTATATGACTAATAAGATCTCTTCCCAGAAACGCCCATCATGCCTTCAATCAGCAATCACCAAAAGCACATTGCTGATTAATTAATGCAGCCAAATAGTCTCTCTTTCACCCCCAGGCACTACTTTTGACTCACTCTCCAGGATCAATAATGCCGGGGGGTGTTACAGGTGAAACGGAGCCTCAATCAGGAGTCCAAAGTACGGTCCCCAGTCCTGAATCTGATACTGGCATCTACATGTCCCTCTCAACTTCACTTTCCCCATCCGTAAGTGGGGACAAAAAGAAACAAAGATCCCAGGCTTCCCGGATCCCAAGAGGAGGAATCACCGTTTAAAGTACCTACTGTGTACCAGGCACTGTGCTAGGTGTTTTTCCAACTTTGCCTCATTTAAATCCTGCTGCAGGCCTTTTCACATTTAAACCCAACTGGCTTATCTCCAAAGCCCAGGCTGTTTGCACTAAAAGATGTTGTTCTTCAAAGGAGATGCAATCAATTAAAGCACTCTGAAATATTTTTTTAATTTTTTTTTTCATTAAAACTTTTTTTTTTTTTTTTTTTTGGCCACACCGCATGGCTTGCAGGATCTTAGTTCTCCCACTAGGAATCAAACCTGGGCCCTTGGCAGTGAAAATGCCGAGTCCTAACCACTGGACTGCCAGGGAATTTCGCAAAATAATACCTTTAAATAAGAGTTGTATCTCATATCTTGAGAGTTTGAATCACAAACTTCTAAAACAGAGTTTCAGAAACCATCTTGCCTTCTCAAGAAACAGCGTTTTGGAAAGCTGGTACTTAATTCATGCTCCAGCATGTACTTAATTCAAGTACCAGTTTCTGAAGTTGCTCTTGATTTTTAAGTGATTTCATCTACTGAGAGAAAAGTTTTTGTCTTCAGAGTGACAAACACCACTATCTGCCACTGCCATAAAAAGCCTACCCAATTTCTTTTTTTAATCTGGCAGGATAGAAATGGTTCCTTAGATTAAAAAAAGAACCCCACCCACTTTTGGAGTACAATGACAGGAGGCTTAGAAGTACAAACCTGGTTCACACTTGTTACAGCATCGTCCAAGGTGCTCGTAATGCCTCTCGCTAGTACACGGAGAGGTGATCTGAAAAGTCACCTAAAGAGAAAGTGCACATCAGGTAGAGATTAGGCACAAGTTCTTTCTAGAGAAAATAGAAAGTGAATTACTGACTCACATTTCTGAAAAGTACAAGAAATCACCATAAGCAGTCCTGAAACTGCTTTGCATAATACCACCCCCCTCCCAAAGATGTCGCTTTCCTATTCTAGCCCATTTCTCCCTAACAATGTACAAAACCAATGATTCTGGCACCCAAATCCATTTAAGCATTTAAAACAATTTCGGTCATGCTCATGGTAATAGGCTGGATGAAAGGGAAATTTACAAATGGTACACAGAAGGTTGGAAACCGCTTTACACAACCCACGTACGAAATTGGTCCCACTTCTGTGTCATCACATGGTGGACAGTTTGCTCAGTCCACTTTGGTCATAAAACTGTAGGACAGAATGGGGCCCCTTAACATGTGTCTTACACCAGGGGAGGCCAACTGTGGTCTTACAAGCTAGCTCTGATTTTAAAAAGATGCTTAATACCGCTTACCTTTTAAAATTTTAAACATGCAGAGAATCTGAAAAAGTGGGACAGCAAGGGGTTACAGGAAGCCTTCTGGCTTCCAGCCAGGAGCCCTGACCGACTGCCCGCCCGCTGGCTGAGGGATCCCCGACAAGCTGCTTCAGCTCTTTGAACCTTGTCTCCTTTCTGTATGATTCTAATACCAATATTAATTTCCAAGTCTGCTCATCTAAGCAGAACAAAACAAAAAGCCAAGTTCCCTACAATCACTCAGATTCTTATCAGTTTGCCACAGAAAAGCTCTTTTCTTTATCAGCTTTCTCAGTGTCAGAAAAAAACCCACACTCCTGTTGACAGGCAAGCAGTGGAGCGATGAACTGAACGATGAAGTGGAAGCGCTGGGCTCAGCTGCACAGACTTCACACTGTGCGTACCAAGGGTCTGGCTCCTGCTGGGTCCCAGGGATCCAAAGTTACAACCTTGCCCTCAAGGGACTTCCGCACACCAGGGTGTGTGCTATGATGGAGCCAGGTGGGTCCTTCCCTCAGCTGAAGGCCAGGGGAGGTGTCCCAAGGAGTGTGACAAGTGAGCACAGGTTGACAGGATAAAAAAGAACTCAGCCAGATGGGGAAAAAGGAACTGGCCCGTGGAAGTGGAGGGCAGGGCAAGGAAGCATCTTTGGCAGAGTATGAAATGTTCAAACAGGGATACTGAGGCCTGAAGTGGCATGTCGGGTGGGGCTGGCAGTGGAGACCATCAGCAGAGTCCCAGGAGACGAGACCAAGGATGGTCAGAGCAATCAGAGGGCTTCACCTGCCTATGCAAGAGCTTGGATGGGAGGTGAAATAGTGTGGCCTGGAAGAAGCCGTGCATCCTCACAGTACCTCAGTTATGAAGGAAGTTTTCTAGAGCGCACCACACCCAGAAAAACCCAGGCTAGCTGAGTAGCGTGTGCAGGATGCCCCCAGTATGGAGCTCTCCGACCTCCCCCAGGCCAGGTAAAGGGCTTCCAGGAGGGTTGGGGCCAGGGACAGTTACTCTGAGGCTGATGAGAATGTCAAATGTGCTTCTGGAGCCAGGTATGCCAGGAAGGTTGTATTTGGACTTGCTTCTGAGACCTGTCTAACACTCTCTGTGGACCCCTGATAACATGGATTGATGTTCCCCGAGCATTCGCCACATGACAGGGTCTGGTGGACAGTGCAGTGAGCCCACTGGACATTAGGAAGAATTATGTAACAGAAATCACCCCACCTCTCCTTTTGGGTCTCTTTTTCTCTGTTTTGATAGGAATCTGTTTCTCTGCGCCTGGCACAGTAACGTGTGCACACAGAAGAAAGATGCACAGAGGCAAAACGGTGAAGCTGAATTCGGTCAATGCAACTTTTGTCTCACAAACAGGATTTGTCTGAGCCTGATGATATGTGAGCACTCCGCTCCTGCGAGGCTGATGACAAAGGCAAACAAGAGAAATGTGTGGTTGGAGATAAAGGTCGATTGCTTCTGACCCATAAGAAAGCTGCAAGAGTCTCTGTAAGATAAGCACAGACTTTGTCTGTATTACACACACAGCTTCTTTTTAGGGGAATTTGGTAAAAGGACTCCCCCCAAGCAGCAGCTTAGAAGCTCTGTCAGGTGCTACAGGCTGTGCCCTGGGCTCCAAATCCTGGTACCTGGTGAGCATCATTGACCTGAATATGTGGATAATTTGCTTACACGTTTAGGAGAGTGGCAGTGATTCATTCAACCCATCCACCGTCTAACCCAGGAGTGTAATACCTCCTAGCAAAAATGGGGAAGCTACTGATTCCAGAGGTAACCAGATGTCTTAGCTCTTAAACAGATTTTCACAGATTATTCCTTAGAATCCATATCTGTCTCCTAAGCTTACTGTGACTTTACACCTGGACATGTCTTTTTTAAAAATGGAGATATAATTCACATACCATGAAACTCACCCTTTCAAAGGGTGCGATTCAGTGTTGGTTTTTTTTTTTTTTTTGTATATTCACAAAGTTGTGCAACCACCGCTGCTAACTCCAGAACACCTTCATCACTCTAAAACTGATATGTCTGCTTGACACAGCTCTAGGATTACAGATCTTTTAAGTTGCATAAGCAATTCTGCTACTGGGAGAATTGGCTATGGTGAGGCAGAAAATTATGGAATTAATCTAACTTAAGGTATAGCTTAAACTGAACCCTACTTTATTCTTGAGTTACATCAGATACTTTGCAGTACACCTTCAAACCTTCAAAATGGCAATAAATATTCAACTCAAAAGGCAACATACATACATAGATATGGTTAAGGAAATGTGGTTTGCGGGTAAATAAAAAGAATCGGGAAAACTCTCTGTAGGAGGCCTACACCTTCAGAAGGCAAGATGTGCCTTTGTTATTTTTTTCCTTCTCTTGTCCCGCCTCTCTGCTTCTAAGAAGCTCTCTGCTTCTTTTCCCCTACTGGCAGAGCTGCAGCTCTAGGATGACCCTCTTATTAGAGGATCTGCAGCTCCCTGGACCTCACACAGCATGTAAAGCTTGCCCTGTGCTGGTCTCACTCTAATCCCAAGCTTCACGTCCAGGAACCCTGTGGTTTGCTCTCCGCACTGCAGTCCCCGCATTTGTAACTATTAGGAAGTCCAGATCTTGGACACCCTGGCCTGTCACCTTTTGCTGATCCCCTGAGGACTTGTCCCTCCATGCTACAGGCCAGAAGGGCTCTGCCTGCCTGCCTCCTGGATCCCAAGTCCCCAAGTCCAACCTTCTTGGGCTCGGTTTCCGGTTAGCCTGAGCTGGATCTCCTTGACACCAGCCTCCCTCTGTCTGGATAGCCTGCCAAATACATCCCCAGACTGGCGTTTTTTTTTGATGTGAATGAACGGATGCCCTTCAGCCCCTCCCAGTCTGACCCCTTCTTTTTCTTTTTTAACATGTTTATCGGAGTATAATTGCTTTACAATGGTGTGCTCGTTTCTGCTGTATAACAAAGTGAATCAGCTATACATATACACATATTGCCATGTCCCCTCCCTCTTGCGTCTCCCTCACACCCTCCCTATCCCACTCCTCTAGGTGGTCACAAAGCACCCAGCTGAGCTGATCTCCCTGTGCTATGCGGCAGCTTCCCACTAGCTATCTATTTTACATTTGGTAGTGTACATATGTCCATGCCACTCTCTAACGTCGTCCCAGCTTACCCTTCCCCCTCCCCGTGTCCTCAAGTTCATTCTCTACGTCTGCATCTTTATTCCTGTCCTGCCCCTAGGTTCTTCAAAACCATTTTTTTTTAGATTCAATATATATATATGTGTTAGCATACGGTTTGACCCCTTCTTTTTCCTACAGATTCTAGCTCTGACATCTCCCATCTCAACAGCCGCTGGGAGAGCCTCCAGGCTGCTCAAGCCCCTCCTGGTCCTCTGGCCCTTCCCTCCCAACAGCTCACAATCTGGGCCTGACTCTAGCCCCCAAGACCAAGCTCCCAACGGTTATGAGGTAGTAGCTCTTATTATTGGTAGCAATCCTAGTAAGGCAGTAATTTGATAAAAACATGTTCCTGCTTCAGTGTTTTGGAAGCAACCTCCCAGGGAATGGGGGGATTCAGCAGAAGGCTGCAGATTTTCAGTTCATCGGGTGATTTTGTCAACCACCTCCAGTCTCCTCTCTTTGCCCAAGATGTAGCAACAGAAGGCTTTTGGTAACCGACTTGAGACGTACAAACTTTGAGTTACCTACGTTTCTGTCTAGGTTGCCTTCAGGATTGACTTGTTTCCCTCTAAAACAATAGAGCTTCGGAACCATCGCTGTTTTCATTAAGCAAATAAAGCAGAACCACTTCTAAAATGTCTATTTATTGAATAAAGAATACAGTCACATACATTCAAAATCAGGTCTGTTGCAGCGCTTGTGTTTTGGGGAATACGATTTGATTCATGCATGGTACTTAGAAGTCTCATAAAAACCAGCCATGTCGGGCTTCCCTGGTGGCGCAGTGGTTGAGAGTCCGCCTGCCGATGCAGGGGATACGGGTTCGTGCCCCGGTCTGGGAAGATCCCACATGCCGTGGAGCGGCTGGGCCCGTGAGCCGTGGCCGCTGAGCCTGCTCGTCCGGAGCCTGTGCTCCACAATGGGAGAGGCCACAACAGTGAGAGGCCCACATACCGCAAGAAAAACCAGCCATGTCCTACCTACCACAGTTCTTAATCAATAAACTACAAAAGTAATGTTTGGCCCACAGAGTTTACATCGACTAACTTCTGCTTTCTAACAGACTTCCCCGGAATGTATAAGAAACACTAGAGTCTGTTTGTAGCAAATATCCTTTACATCCCCTGCCTTTCCTTTCCCCCCATATAAATTCCTTGGAAACTCTAAATAAAGGAGTTAAAATGGCAAGACAATACATCTGATTTATTGGACATCTGTTGCCTCACTTTCTTGTTTTGTGTCACGTGTATATTTGTTTCAGGGCATACGGGCTGGTATTTAATTTTAACGGCTGACAAACTCTTCTGGAATAAGCATGTCCACAGTCTGTGCAAGGCTTTGGGAGGCCAGAGGGAAATAATAAATCGTACATCAAAACTGTCTTTATAAAGCTCTGTGGATTTATGTAATGCCATGTTGGGTCTAATCCTGAGAGGCTCCAAGCTGAAGAAACAAACTTAGAAATTTGTTAAGAGGGTAGGTCTCATGTTGCATGTATTTTACCACAATTTTTTAAAAAGAACATATTGGCTTTTTCATTATTTACTCTGTGACATTTTTCCTCATGAAACTCATTGTTCAACTCCACTGGCTTACAAATATTCAAACTGACAATGTTGCTCAAACCCTTGTAATGGAATTGAATAAAAACTTGGATTAAAAGATCAACTTTGAAATATGCATAATACATTCACTGACTTAAAGGTAAAAAAAAAAAAAAAAAAAAAAATTTCTGTGAGCTGAGCTGCAGAGACCGGAGGATCTGTATTCAGAATCCTGCAGGGAAGGTTGACTTAAATATTTATTTTTCATGCTGTTAATCAACCCAATTGTGGTGAAAGCCATTATGAATACTAAAATTACTTTTCTGCTCTACTAAAATTTCATGCTGACATATAACAAAACAGAAAGAAGCTTGGCTCCTTCTGTCAAACCAAGGGGAAAAGAACCCAACCCAGAAGAACAAATGAGGGATTTTCCATAGATTTCACTTTATAAAATATCACCCATGACTATACTTGAGAATTTGGCTGTAAATTAAGTAAAGATGGTATCAAATTTCTGAATGTTACAGTCAACTGAAAGTTGTGGTTTTTCTTAAGAGAGAAACTAGTGAATGTGAAAATAACACCTAATCTGCTGCCCTTGAAAAAAATATCCTTAAAGAAAGTCACGGGTCTTCCCTGGTGGCACAGTGGTTGAGAGTCCGCCTGCCGATGCAGGGAACACGGGTTCATGCCCCGGTCTGGGAAGATCCCACGTGCCACGGCGCGGCTAGGCCCGTGAGCCATGGCCGCTGAGCCTGCGCGTCCGGAGCCTGTGCTCCGCAACGGGAGAGGCCACAGCAGTGAGAGGCCGGCGTACCGCAAGAAAAAAAAAAGTCACGAATGAAAAGTGCTCTAATCCAGAATAGAAATCAATTACTAGTGGCCTGTGTTCCCGAGAACACCAAGAAAGCGGCTTTACTATGAGGGTCTCACACCAGGAAACTGTTTCTATCTGAAGGCTTTTGTTTTTAGAAATAAATGAACAACAAACAAACAAAAGGTCTCAGTCATAGGCCAGAGGAACTGACAAACAAATGCTGTTCCTTCTTGTCCATTTCTTTGAACGTCTGTGTTTTTAGCTGGCTGAGCAGTCAGGCCAGAGACGAGGTGTAAGTTTCTCCCCTCAAAACATTTCAGTTAGTGAATACCAACACAGACCCTTTCAACAGAGATGTTCTAGGGGACCTCTTCAGTTTGGTCCCTTTCTTAGCTCCTTTTCTCCAGAAGCTTCCAGTGGCCCTGCTCTACTTTATCTGGCTTTCTACTCTTGAACATGGCACAGTTATATGTCTGTTACTGCAAAGAAAGCATCCACTGTCATGCCTCTCGGTTAAAAGTTCAGAATTGGAAGTGGATATCATAGAGGAGTCATTTTGAGCTTGCACATCAGATAAGGCAGGTTTCCAGAGAAAACAGAAAAATGAAACACTAACTGAAGTAAAGTCTGACATGCCAGAATGTAGGGATTTAGCAGAGCAGAGGCCAGGGCCAGAAAGACACAGGGAGAAGGGAGCACGGTACCAGCATGCTGGTGAAGACAGAAGAAGCTGCCTGGCCAGGTAGCTCCCCTGGTCGGTTAGGGCAGGGCAGACTTCAGGATAGGATTCTTCCACCCAGGGCAGCTCTTAGAGTTGAGCTTCCAGATTGGCCTGGATAGAAGAATGCCTGACATTTCTTTAATAAAACTGTCTACATTTCTACAATTTGAGGACAAGGGGGAAAAAGGTCAGTTCTAAGCCTCAGTCTCTTCACCTGTAAAATGGGGCAAATAATTGCACCCATCCCACCGCAGTAAGGATGAGGTGGTATAATTCATGGAAAATGATGTATCAATGGCAAGTGGCAATACTCAGGAAAAATGAAGGCTCTGCTTTTTCACTTTGAAGCGAAGGACCTTTCTAGCAGGTAGATGGGGGAATGAGGCGGGACAGGAATTGCGTCACTCACTCACTCAGCACAGGGGCGCACACCTGGCTGGCGGTCGGTAGGGGGGATGCTACTGTAGGCACCTGGGCAGAATCGGTGAACACCAATTACTTTTATCAGATCATTCACTGGTGGGGGGCTGGAGGGAAAGGAGTGTGACAGAAAAAGGAAAGAGGGTGGAAAAGAGACCAGGGACTCGTAGAAAAATTCTGAAGGCCTGGCAATTTTCCTGAGCGTACCATCCCTGTTTAGTTTTAACATGGCTCTGATGACAAAAGCTGACAGCAGAGTGTTTCAGCTGGGCAATTGGAAAAACATGATTTTGGGGGGGTTTTATTTGGCTGCACCTCAAGGCTTGTGGGATCTTAATTCCCTGACTGGGAACAGAACTTGTGCCCCCTGCAGTGGAAGCGTGGAGTCCTAACCACTGCACCGCCAGGGAATTCCCAGAGAAACATGTTTTTAATCCAAAAGGCTCATTTTTTTTTAAAGCATGTTTGACTTCACATAAAGAAGTGCTTTCTCATGAGACTGAAATGGTGGCAGGTGGCCCGAGTCATGGTAGTGGCTTTCTGTCTGGAGCTTCAGTAGGTGATGGGAACGGAAGCCGGGCTGGGGAGGGAGCGAGCTTACTCAAAGCCTCTGCTGATAAAGTGTTTGCTAGATTCTGTCAGTGATTTCTGTCAAATGGGACAGAATCGAGCTATGACCAAATGCCCTTCTAGACATTTTCATTTTAGAAAAACTCAGAATTTCAAGCAGAATTTCAAGCTTACAGGTTTACAGAGAAAACATCAGACTTGTTTTTCTTTTGCACAAACCAAAGCTTCACATTTCATACTTCAGAACATTACACAGGCACCTATGAAGATAGTATGTTATCAATTAAAGAGACAAAATAAAGAAGCAGCTTTTGGGGATCTCCTGTGCACCCCAGCAGATCACCCCGCACACTCCCTGGAGAACACTGAACTGTGGAACATGTTAAGAGTGTGAAGACGCCACGTTATGCAAGCCAGGTATGTGGTCTAAGTCATGATGCAAGTGGATACAGAGAATCAGAGGGTTTAAACAGAAAACTCCCTGAGTGTCCAAAATACTACAATTCACTTTACAGAAATATATTTTACACACAGCTTTTTTTTTTTTTTACAACTATATTGGGGTATAATTGCTTTACAATGGTGTGTTACTTTCTGATTTATAACAAAGTGAATCAGTTATACATATACATATGTTCCCATATCTCTTCCCTCTTGCATCTCTCTCCCTCCCACCCTTCCTATCCCACCCCTCCAGGTGGTCACAAAGCACAGAGCTGATCTCCCTGTGCTATGCGGCTGCTTCCCACTAGCTATTTTACGTTTGGTAGTGTATATATGTCCATGCCACTCTCTCGCTTTGTCACAGCTTACCCTTCCCCCTCCCCATATCCTCAAGTCCATTCTCTAGTGGGTCTGTGTCTTTATTCCTGTCTTACCCCTAGGTTCTTCATGACATTTTTTTTTTCTTAAATTCCATATATATGTCAGCATACGGTATTTGTCTTTCTCTTTCTGACTTACTTCACTCTGTATGACAGACTCTAGGTCCATCCACCTCATTACAAACAGCTCAATTTCGTTTCTTTTTATGGCTGAGTAATATTCCATTGTATATATGTGCCACATCTTCTTTATCCATTCATTCGACGGCGGGCACTTAGGTTGTTTCCATCTCCGGGCTATTGTAAATAGAGCTGCAATGAACATTTTGGTACATGACTCTTTCTGAATTCTGGTTTCCTCAGGGTATATACCTAGTAGTGGGATTGCTGGGTCATATGGTAGTTCTATTTGTAGTTTTTTAAGGAACCTCCATACTGTTCTCCATAGTGGCTGAACCAATTCACATTCCCACCAGCAGTGCAAGAGTGTTCCCTTTTCTCCACACCCTCTCCAGCATTTATTGTTTCTAGATTTTTTGATGATGGCCATTCTGACTGGTGTGAGATGATATCTCATTGTAGTTTTGATTTGCATTTCTCTAATGATTAATGATGTTGAGCATTCTTTCATGTGTTTGTTGGCAGTCTGTATATCTTCTTTGGAGAAATGTCTATTTAGGTCTTCTGCCCATTTTTGGATTGGGTTGTTTATTTTTTTGTTATTGAGCTGCATGAGCTGCCTGTAAATTTTAGAGATTAATCCTTTGTCAGTTGATTCATTTGCAAATATTTTCTCCCATTCTGAGGGCTGTCTTTTGGTCTTGTTTATGGTTTCCTTTGCTGTGCAAAAGCTTTGAAGTTTCATTAGGTCCCATTTGTTTATTTTTGTTTTTATCTCCATTACTCTAGGAGATGGGTCAAGAAGGATCTTGCTGTGATTTATGTCATAGAGTGTTCTGCCTATGTTTTCCTCTAAGAGTTTGATAGTTTCTGGCCTTACATTTAGGTCTTTAATCCATTTTGAGCTTATTTTTGTGTATGGTATTAGGGAGTGATCTAATCTCATACTTTTACATGTAGCTGTCCAGTTTTCCCACATCACTTATTATTTATTTTTTTATTTTTTTTTTTGCGATACGCGGGCCTCTCACTGTTGTGGCCTCTCCCGTTGCGGAGCACAGGCTCCGGACGCGCAGGCCCAGCGGCCATGGCTCACGGGCCCAGCCGCTCCGTGGCATGTGGGATCTTCCCAGACCGAGGCACGAACCCGTGTCCCCTGCATCGGCAGGCGGACTCTCAACCACTGCGCCACCAGGGAAGCCCCAGCATCACTTATTAAAGAGGCTGTCCTTTCTCCACTGTACATTCCTGCCTCCTTTATCAAAGATAAGGTGACTGTATGTGCGTGGGTTTATCTCTGGGCTTTCTATCCTGTTCCATTGATCTAACCTTCTGTTTTTGTGCCAGTACCATACTGTCTTGATTACTGTAGCTTTGTACTATAGTCTGAAGCCAGGGAGCCTGATTCCTCCAGCTCTGTTTTTCTTTCTCAAGATTGCTTTGGCTATTCGGGGTCTTTTGTGTTTCCATACAAATTGTGAAATTTTTTGTTCTAGTTCTGTGAAAAATGCCAGTGGTAGTTTGATAGGGATTGCATTGAATCTGTAGATTGCTTTGGGTAGTAGAGTCATTTTCACAATGTTGATTCTTCCAATCCAAGAACATGGTATATCTCTCCATCTATTTGTATCATCTTTAATTTCTTTCATCAGTGTCTTATAATTTTCTGCATACAGGTCTTTTGTCTCCTTAGGTAGGTTTATTCCTAGATATTTTATTCTTTTTGTTCCAATGGTAAATGGGAGTGTTTTCTTGATTTCACTTTCAGATTTTTCATCATTAGTGTATAGGAATGCCAATTTCTGTGCTTAATTTTGTATCCTGCTGCTTTACCAAATTCATTGATTAGCTCTAGTAGTTTTCTGGTAGCATCTTTAGGATTCTCTATATATAGTATCATGTCATCTGCAAACAGTGACAGCTTTACTTCTTCTTTTCCGATTTGGATTCCTTTTATTTCCTTTTCTTCTCTGATTGCTGTGGCTACCTGCTGAAAGTGAGGTTCAGGACTTCCCTGGTGGTGCAGTAGTTAAGAATCTGCCTGCCAACGCAGGAGACACGGGTTTGCGCCCTGGTCCGGGAAGATCCCACAGGCCATGAAGCAACTAAGCCGATGCGCCACAACTACTGAGCCTTTGCTCTAGATCCCAAGAACCAGAACTATGGAGCCCTCGTGCCACAACTACTGAAGCCCGTGTGCCTAGAGCCCATGCTCCACAACAAGAGAAGCCACCACAAGGAGAAGCCCATGCACCGCAATGAAGAGTAGCCCCTGCTCACCACAACTAGAGAAACCCCGTGCGCAGCAACGAAGACCCAATGCAGCCAAAAATAAATAATTTACATATAAAAAAAAGTGAGGTTCAACTGTTCTCTGATTGGTACAATATGAAAAGATGTGTCTGTTTGAGAAGAATGTGAAGAAAATGATGACCATCACGAATACTATTATAATAATTGACCTGCTACTAAGGGATCTGGGGCATTCTAAAATGCATTTTACGAATGTGTTTCCAGTGATAAAGAGTATTCAGAACTCCAACTCGGAGGCGTTCATCACAGCTGGTCAACTCCTGCTGGTCTTGTTGTAAACCCACTAATATGAATCAACCCCCTCCCCACATACAGACCACTTTCCATGAAGGGGTTGTGAGTTGATTTCTTCACTATGCAGACACTAGAGTAAGGCCAGTCATTCCTTTGCCTGAGTCATTTGCCTTATCTTGTAAGATGACTTTTCATATGATTATGACCAGAAGACAAATTTCGGCCTGGTCTACGGTTTAATAATACAAAGTACCAGTCTCTTAAAAAGCTCTGCTATCATCACATCTTCAAAGCTGTCTTTACTGAGCTCTCATATATCAATACTCGTGCAAGGGATTGGCTTGTGTAGGAAAGGGAATGAGTCCATCCCTACCCTCTCAAAGTGCGTTGCAGCAGAGGACACAGGCAGATAGGAGAGAAAACTAACAGATAGAGACCCACAGGACAATACAAGACCTGGTGCACTGGAAAGATCAAGTTCCACCAAGTCCCTGGATGCAACCCTCACTGGTCACAGACTGGGAAGGGGAGGGAACCCGGCCTGGGATACACGGGAAGGAATCACAGAGGGAGATGCACAAAGCCCAGAGGGCAGGGGCAAGGGCAGAGGAGTGAAGAATGGGGCTTGGGTTGGTGGAAGGGGAGAGGAGGGGCAGTGGGAGACCTGGGGCAGATGCGGAGGCAGGGGAGTGGGGTCCTGGGAAGAGGCAGCTGTAGAAGAAACGGGGGTCATGTTTAGCAGCACCATGGAGTGTACTGCAAACTGGTGGAATGAGAAGGGCCAATAAGAAGGTGTGAACTCCTTTTGGCAGTGAACAGTGTCTGATGGAGGGAATGACTGGTGTCTTATGGAAGGAATAGCCATGTAAAGAGCTGGCATGAACAAACAAGGTAGGGAGTCTGGATCTTGCAGGAGGAGCAAAGAAAGTGGCTTATCTCAGGGAGATGAGAAAGGGCTGTCTCCATCGTGAAACACTGAATTTAGGTCTTTTTATGCCAGTCCTTCGAAAACCCATTTTTAAAAAAACTTTAGGGGCACTTTAATT